ACACCCTTATATAGTATAATATATTCTACTATATAGTAAGTACTAAAAATAGTAATTTTTGTATAACATAGTAGAAATAGCAAAATACCATGGTAGAAATAGTAGCCCTCTTTAAAAATGAGAGAAGAACAACTTAACTCTGAAATTTTCAATTCTGATATAAAACATCACAGAGCAGTAATCTATTCAGAACTTGACTTTATGCTCAAAGAATTTGTACTAATTTACCAGAATAAAATGATTTTAAGTGATGCTTTGCTTGTTGAAAAAGCTAAGGTATTTGGTATTATATATTTTTGATATTCAGTCTTTTTTTTTACTTATTTTGAATTCATACCAAAGAATACCTATACAGTCAACTCTTTTTATAACGAACTGACAGTTTTAAAAAAAAAAAGTTCATTATAGAAAATTACTATATTTTCTTAAGAACATATTGCCTTTTCTATGCTGAACTATTATAAACATTTTAAAAATTTTGGGTTCGTTATACCCAGAGTTCATTATATCTAGAGTTCGTTATATCTAGAGTTAACTATATATATATATTTTTTTTTTTTTTTAATCCAAACTCACATCCAAACACATTTATTAACTATATTAAAGTTAATTGCTAATGGCTTGAGAATTCCTAAAGGAACATTAAAATTTTCTCATAGCTGGCTTGAGAAATTTAAAGATAAAAACAGAATTCATCAATATTATTTAAAAAAAGAAGCTGAATCTGCTGACAAAATGGCTATTAATAATATCTTACTCTTGTTAAAAAACAAAAGCTTAAACTATCTTTTAGAAAGAATCTATAATATAGATGAGACTGGCCTTTTTTATCAGTATAAACTTTTTATTAGGGACATGACAAAAATCAGGTGATTTTTTAGGGGCAGAGGGGGTAAAAAAAGTTAAAATTATATATAAGAACCTGATTTTTTTTTATATTAAGAGGGGAAGGGGGTAAGCCTCTGATAAAAAATAATCAGGTGATAAATGATACTGCCCTTACCATATCATCATAAAATAATACTTGCTATACTATTTTGAAATATATAATTTTTAGATAGTTAAGATTTAATTTTAATAAATACAAACTATGATTTTATTTTTTTAAAAAATCTTAAATCCTAACTTTCTGAAAATAATATGTTTTAAAATAATACTTGTGGCATTATTTCATAACAATACAGGATAAATATCTGTTATTAACTATCAAATCTTATTTTTTAGATTAGAGCCAGATAGAATATTGGTGACTCAGCATCTTTCAGGGTATAAAGTGAATAGAAAATATTTTTCAATTGTGTTGTATACAAATGCTGATAGTTTACATAAATTGGTTCCCTTTGTAATCAGAAAATATGCAAAACCATGCTGCTTTAAAAATATCAAAATTAATAATTTATCTATTAAATATAGAAGTAGTGCTAAAGTATAGATGATTACTACCTTATTTCAAGATTGGCTCAAAGAATTTAATTATCAAATTGAGTTAAAACATCAAAGCCAACATGTATTACTTATTCTTAACAATTGTGCTAGCCACAAATTGGATGGTCTTATCTTATGATATATTGATATTATTTTTCTACCTCAAATATGACTTTCAAAATTCAACCACTTGATGCTGGCATTATAATAAGCTTCAAAAGACACTACCGTCACCATCATATTCAATAAGATTCTATTGTATTTTAAATAATTATAAAAAAATTTGTCTGTTTTTTATAATCTGATATAAAAACTAAAAACTTTTTTATATATTATAACCAGACAGATTTTTTTAAAAAAATTATATACAGTCACTTCTCTTTATAACGAGTCCAAAATTTTTAAAATTTTTATAATGGTTTAGTATAGAAAAGCAATGGGTTCTTAAGAAAACATAGTAATTTTCTATAACAAACTTTTTTTCCCAGAACTATTAGTTCGTTATAGAAAGAGTTGACTATATATAAATTTATAAATCAATCTTTTGGGTTACAAACCTGTTTAAAATTTTAAAATAAATAAATAAATAAGTAAATAAAAATTTTTTTTAAGATGGATCTTAGAGTGTGTAGAAAGTGGCCAGCGTGCGGATAAGCTAAAGATAGATATATTGCAAGCTATATGCTATATTATTCAAGGCTAGAAAGAAGTTATTGCTAAAACAATTCATAATTGTTGGCGCTACACTAAAATTTTTTCAGCAGATATCAATACTAATTTACAAAACCTTTCTGATGATATGGATTTAGAGCTTGATAAGCTTGATGATTTTGCTAATACACTTGAAGCCCTTTATCCTTATCTTACTTACCCAATACAAGTTAAAGAATTCTTATCTATTCCCAATGAAGATATTGTTTACGAAGTTCCTGATGATGATCAAGTTACTACAGATCTTGTTAACACATTTAGTACTGAGGATTTAGAAGAAATAGAAGGTGATAATAGTAATAAAATTCCTATAATCAATATTAATATAGTATTGACAAGCTTAGAAACAGTATGCACGTTTCTCCTCTAGCAAGATAATGATATGAATGAATATATTAAGGCTGCTAGAAAAGTTGAAGCTTTTATTAAAAAATTAAATTAAATCAAATGCGACAAAATAAAATCAGTGATTATTTTTTGAAAGAATATTAAAAAGGCTTATTCTAATACTTATCCTATAGATTCGTTCCCAATAGTTGTAAAATTTGAATTTTTTTTTTTATCAATATATATTCTTACATTGTATAGTTTTGTCATAATAACTTTTTTTTTTATTAGACATGTTGTTAAACCAGACATATATAATATAAACATTTTTTTTATATAACTTGAAATAAATATAACTTATCCTATATAGCTGTAGTAGTTAGATTAAATCGTATTTTTCTATTTTCTGAAATAAATTTTATTACTTGTTAGCAAGACCAACAATTTTATTATTTTGTTTAATAGTTAGATAATATAACCATTTAAGTAACAATTTTTATTTATATTAAAACTATAAATATACAGACTTTAGCTTTTTTAAACTCACATATATAAAT